CAAGCATAAGTATCACATCATTTAAACACTGATCTCCCTATCATAAAGTTGTTCACTCTGCAAAAACTAGTGCTTATAATACAATTAAAAACTACTCATTAATAAAAGTATCTTCAAGAACCACATGAAAGACTTTTAGAAAACACTTAATAAAATGTATTGATAGCAGTGATGCATTTAGGGGAATTATTAAAGTACAAAAATTACTCTCCTATAAACAGTAATAGTAAAGGTTCTTTTAAACATTACTGAATCTGAGACTTCCCTGAGAAACCTAGCTTGCTTCAATAACTATTAAATTATTCAGAAAGTACAATTTGTGAAAATCTAAGTTTATAATGAAGCTTCTTTTAATTGATGTCCACTTAACCAGGTTGCTAGATGAACAGATACTCTCCAGCCCCTTAGTTTAATTTTTATAGGCACAATATTCAATGGTTTCCTTATTCTGACTTTATTCAAACCTGTGCCATGTAATGATAAACCATGACTGCATTCTGTGAACAATTTTTAAAAAAATGTTCCCTGGAGTATGTTTTCATGTGTTTGTTAGCCATCTGTATGTCTTCTTTGGAGAAATGTTTATTTAGGTCTTTTTCCCACTTTTTGATTGGGTTGTTTTTCTGGTATTGACTTGTCTGAGCAGCTTGTATATTTTGGAAAATAATCCTTTGTCAGTTGTTTCATTTGCTATTATTTTCTCCCATTCTGAAGGTTGTCTTTTCACCTTGTTATAGTTTGCTCTGCTGTGCAAAAGCTTTTAAATTTAATTAGATTCCACTAGTTTATTTTTGTTTTTATTCCCATTACTCTATGAGGTGGGTCATAGAGGATCCTGCTGTGATTTATATCACAGAGTGTTCTGTTTTCCTCTAAGAGTTTTACAGTTTCTGGTCTTACATTTAGGTCTTTAATCCATTTTGAGTTTATCTTTGTGTATGGTGTTTGGAAGTTCTCTAATTTCATTCTTTTACATGTAGCTGCCCAGTTTTCTCAGCACAACTTACTGAAGAGGCGATCTTTGTCCCACTGTAATATTCTTGCCTCCTTTGGTCTAGTATCCTTGACCCCTTGCCTCCAAAAATATGGTACCCATAGGCATGTAGGTTTATCTCTGGGCTATCTTGTTCCATTGGTATGTATTTCTATTTTTGTGCCAGTGCCATATTGTCTTGATGACTATAGCTTTGTGGTATAGTCTGAAGTCAGGAAGATTGACTTATCCAGCTACATTCTTTCTCAAGATTGCTTTGGCTATTCCGGGTCTTCTGTGTTTCAAATTATGAATTGCAAAATTTTTGTTCCAGTTCTGTGAAAAATGCCACTGGTAATTTGATAGGGATCACACTGAATGTGTAGAGTGCATTTGGTAGTATAGTCATTTTCACAATATCGACTCCCTTGAGTTAATGAGGTTTTTTTTTTTTTCCTTGTGATGCTTTTCTGTGTAATTATTACTAGTTTTCCATTGCCTTCTCCAGTGGACCATGTTTTGTCAGAACTCTCCACCATGACCCAACTGTCTTGGGTGGCCCTACACAACATGGCTCACAGTTTCATTGAGTTACTCAAGGCTGTGATCCATGTGATCATTTTGTTTAGTTTTCTGTGACTGTGGTTTTCATTCTGGAGGCCATGGGATTGCAGTTCTTGCTTTTCTGTCTGCTCTCTGATGCATGAGGATAAGAGGCTTGTGCAAGCTTCTTGATGGGAGGGGCTGGCTATTGGGAAAACGTGCCTTCCTCTGGTGGGCAGGGTCATGCTCAGTAAATCTTCAATACAATTTTCTGCTGATGGATGGGGCTGTGCTCCCTCCCAGTAGTTTGGCCTGAGGTGGACCAGTCCTGGAGTCTGCAGTCTCCATGACAGAGATAGAGGCTCTGTGATAGCGCTAATGGCAAGAGGACTTATGTCAACACGCCATGCCTCCCAGGACTGCTGCTGCCAGTACCCCTGACCAGAAGGCAGGCCACTGTTGGTTCAGGCCTCTGCAGGAGACAAAACATGGTCCACTGGAGAAGAGAATGACAAACCACTTCAGTATTCTTGCCTTGAGAACACCCTCAACAGGATGAAAAAAAGGTAAAAAGATATGAAACTGGACAATGGGCACCATCCCTGCAGGTCAGTAGGTGTCCAATACTCTACTGGGGAAGAGCAGAGAAATAGCTCCAGAAAGAGTGAAGAGGCTGAGCCAAAGTGCAAATAATGCCCAGGTGTGGCTGTATCTGGTGAAAGTAAAGTCTGATGCTGTAAAGAACAATACTGCACAGGAACTTGGAATGTTAGGTCCATGAATCAGGTAAATTGGATGTGCTCAAACAGGAGATGGCAAGAGTGAACATAGACATTTAAGAATCAGTAAACTAAAATGGATGGGAATGGGAAATTTAATTCAGATGACCATTATATCTACTACTGTGGGCAACAATCCCTTAGAAGAAATGGGAGTAGCCCTCACAATCAACAGGAGTTCAAAATGCAGTACCTGGGTGCAATCTCAAAATCAAGAGAATGATCTTGGTTCATTTGCAAGGTAAACCATTCAACATCACAGTAATCCAAGTCTATACCTCAACCACTAATGCCAAAAAAGCTGAAGTCGAACAGTTCTATGAACAACTACAAGACCTCCTAGAACTAATAGCAAAAAGAGATGTCCTTTTCATTATAGGGGACTGAAATGCAAAACTAGAAAGTCAAGAGATACCTGGAGAAACGAGGAAGTGTGGAGTACAAATGAAGAAGGGCAAAGGCTAACAGAGTTGTGCCAAGAGAATTTACTGGTCATAGCAAACACCCTCTCCTGGTAACACCAGAGACGACTCTACACATGGACATCACCAGATGGTCAATACTGAAATCAGAATGACTATATTCTTTGCAGCCAATGATGGAGAAGCTCTATACAGTCAGCAAAAACAAGACCTGGAGCTGACTGCAGCTCAGATCATAAGCTCCTTATTGCAAAATTCAAACTTCAATTGAAGAAAAGTAGGGAAAACCACTAGGCCATTCAGGTATGACCTAAATCAAATCTTTTATGATTAAACAGTGGAAGTGACAAATAGATGCAAGGGATTAGATCTGATACACAGGAGTGCCTGAGGAACTATGGATGGAGGTTTGAAACACCGTACAAAAGGTGGTGACCAAAATCATCCCCCAGGAAAAAGAAACAGAAGAAAGCAAAATGCAAGAAAGCCTCCTGTCTGAGGAGGCTTTTCCAACAACTGAGAAAAGAAGAGAAGTGAAAAGCAAAGGAAATAGTTAATGGATATACCCAACTGAATGCAGAGTTCCAAAGAACAGCAAGGAGAAGTAAGACAGCCTTCTTAAGCGAACAATGCAAAGAAATAAAGGAAAACAATAAAATGGGAAAGACTATACATCTCTTCAAGAAAATCAGAGATACCAAGAGAACATTTCATGCAAAAATGGGCAAAATAAAGGTCAGGAATAGGGCCTAACAGAGGCAGAAAAGATCAAGAAGAGTTGGCAAGAATACACAGAAGAATGGTACAAAAAAGGACTTAATGGTCCTGATAATCACGATGGTGTAGAGACTCACCTACAGCCAGACATCCTGGAGTGTGAAGTCAAGTGGGCCTTAGGAAGTATTACTACGAACAAAGTTAGGAGATGATGGAATTCTAACTGAATAGTCAGTCTTTGCTTCCTCCAAGCTGCTTAAACTTCTGAACTACACTTTCCATGTTTGAGAGTTTTCTGTGATGTCTAGTATTTCTTGGTTATCTAACATTAAAAATAGAAGGCCAAGAAACTGACTGTAAGCTCTCAGTATGTGAGGCTTTCTGACTATGAGTTTTCTTCTTTGGAGTGATCAGGCTAACGTCATTAAATTGGAGCGTCTCTCATGTCAGTGTCTGCAGTTGTTTTCCTCTTCTCTAGGGCTAGTCCAATTCTGTTGAAAAAGATCCTCCAATCTCTTGCCTGGTGGGATAAAGTTCAGCTGCTGGCATTACTGAAGCATTACCACAGAAGGAAAGGTGGCTAAGGGTGTCTCACAGCTAGAATGTTCACTTTATCCACCTTTCTCTGGACAGCTCCCTTGCTCTTAACAGCGCCTGTTGTCCTCTAGTCCAGACACCTTGTATCACATGGCACAGCTGGACATTAGGTGCTGGTAGGAGTGTAAGTTGGTACAACCATCTTAGAAAAATGTGCTAAAGCTATGTAAGTGTATACCCTATTCCTTTCCCCAATATATACACCAAATAGAAATGAAAGCCTAGGTCTTCCTAAAACATTCACAGAAATATCACCATAGCCTTTATTCATAATAATGAAAAAGTGGAAACACCCAATGTCTATCAGTGTGTAAGTTATGGTATATTCATATAACAACCACCACACTGCAATGGAAAACAAGTTTCTGATATACACACCAACATGGATCTCAGAGACACCAGACTATAAACAGTATAGATGCATCTATAAAAAGCTCAAAGAAAGACAAAACTAATCTATGTTTAGAGATCAAAACAATGGCTGCCCCTGGGGTTGGGAGTACTGATCAGAAAGGAACATAAGAGAACTTTTAGAGGTGATGAAAATGTTCTATAATTTGATTTGGACGATGATTAGACAGGATAACATGTATGTAGCAATTCACTAATTTGTATGCTTATGACTGTATACTTCACTGTTTTAAGATACACACAACTCAAAATGATCCTTTATAAAATTGATTATATAAATGCTTTGGTAATAATGAGGTTTAAAATCCCTACTAAATCCATCAAGATAAACAATTATCTTTCAAAGCCTAAAACACATGGTCCCAGTGATCTCTAGAACTTAAGATATTATTTTACCAGCATTTAATTATTTCTTAAGTGGGGGGTGGTGGTAAGAAGTAACTCAGCGATGTAACATTCACTTCAAGAACAGTCAACACTGAAGTGCTAAATTTACTGAGAATTCAGAGCATACTTTCATTCACATTAAATACTATCAGCACCACACCAGGTACTCACCCTTCCAACCTAACATCTGGTAGAGATCTGTTGAGTGCAATCATCTCACTTGCCATTAAATTGAACTGATTGATTTTAAACATCTCTTTCATCTTTTCTTGATCCTCTTTAGGAATGACGACTGGTTTCCCCATTTCTCCAGGACCTTCATGAGGCTTTTGTACTGGCTCTAGAACTAAGAATAAGGAGGAAATTTAACTAACATTAATTTTACAGCAATTAATTCATGTTTCTATTGAATAACCTTTATGTTTAAACTATGCCCTCAACAACCAGAGCCACCTCTGAGCCCATCCTCTACCAATCTGGGACACAGCCTAGGGGCTGCCCTGTCCCTTGCTTCCACACTGTGCCCTGACTCCAGACGTTCTCACCATGCACCACTCCCTTCAATCACTGCATGGCCTTGGCACTCCCATCTCGAATATTGTGGCCACAGTAACTTCTCTAAAGCATAGTCTTCATTATGCTATTCCCATGGTCTCTGGGAGTCTAATCTCTTTAACAGGAGATTTAAGTTTCCAAACCTACCACCTGCTGGGCTCTCCGCTTCCCAGCCCCCAGATGCTCACCCTCCCGTCAAGCAGCGCCTCCAGCTCTCCTCTCTGTGCCTCAGGCCTACCTGCGTTGGTGCCTCTGCTCACACTGGCCTCCTCCCTTGGCACCTCCCACCTCTACCTGTGCAACACCAAACCCACACTAGTCCTTCAAGGCCCAGCTAAGATGGCTTCTCTCCTGCAGCTTTTCTGTATCTCTCTCGAGTGACAGCTTACTACTTTTGACCACACCATTTCATCCAGGGCTCTATGTCTCTAATCAATTGTTGTTGTTTAGACACTCAGTCATGTCCAACTCTTTCTGACCCCATGGACTGTAGCCCGCCAGGCTCCTCTGTCCATGAGATTTCCCAGGCAAGAATACTGGAGTGGGTTGCCATTCCCTTCTCCAGGGGATTGTCCCGACCCGGGGATCAAAACTACATCTCCTGCATTGGCAGGCAGATTCTCTATCACTGAGCCAGAAGCAAAGTCCCTCTAATCAACAGCTCTCCCTAATTATGATTGGTAAACATGCCTATGACACCCCACCTAGCTAGATTATGATTTCTTTATTAGCTGGAGTTTTTTGTTTATTCATGTACCTTCTGTGGAGTTTAGCAGTGTTTAATAGGCATTTTATAACTATATGCTAAATTAATACATGAGTACAAGTTATTCAAAATAAATCACAATGAAATCCTAGAATTAACAATAGTAGACATTATAGTAAGCATTATGCAAGGTGGAACATCAAGAAATATAATTCTAATCAGAAGTAATGTTGTCTCTTAACATAGAGTTGTTTCTCAGTATCCATGAGGGCCTAGTTCCAAGACACCTGTCACCCTGCCCTGTGGATACCAAAATCTGCAGATGTGCAAATCCTTTATATAAAAAGGTATGTGGCACAATCACCCCTCCGTATAATCCACAGATACGGAGGACTGGCTGTATTAGTAAAAAGAAGAATATTTCTAACCAGCAAATCCCAAATCTTGTTCCTAGTTATATACTTCTGAGATATTAAAAAGTGTTCCAAGAAAAACATTGTTTTATGTTTATGTTCTAGAATATATTATGTTATAGAATATATTAAATTTGAAAAAATTGTGTTAAACTTCCCACCTAAAAGGGACGGATAGAGAATGAGGTGAAGGTAAGAATGGGATGAAACTATCTGTTTATACATTACTTGTTTTTTAAGCTGAAAGTTTTATTCTCCTGCAGTGTGTTTTTAAGGTATCCCCCCAAAGTCTCTGGATGGAAATGTCTGAAGACATCACGGTAGTAGACGAACCAGGAGTTCTCTTCAGACAGGCTTTGCCCGACTGAGAACAGCTCTTGTCGGCAAAGCTGGCCTACAGGACGACTTTCCAGAGCAGGTACAAAGCAACCTATCCATACTGGAGCTGCAGAATATTACTCACTATGCCTTCAACATAAAACATAAACAGAACATAAAATCTGTTTTAAAGAACTATCAAGGAAAAAATGGTGTATAAGAATTTTCCCCATTCTCAGAAGCTTAGAAACTGATTTCAGGAAGGAAGTTAAAATATTAGGAAATAACTTGAAAAATCATAGGAAACTCTCTGTAATACAATTTTAAAAAACAAATCCTATCTAATGTTTGCCAAGTAAGCTCTTTAAATATAAGAATTTTAAAAAAATTCTCAGTGACAAAAATTTTCAATGACAAGTATAATAAAAACTGTAAGTACAGAAACATAATGCTCATATAAACTTTTAAAATTTAAAAAACCATAAATTATTAAACTCTCACAGTCAGTTTCTACTTACCTGTCTCTGAAAATAAAGAGCAATGAACAGACTTGGGGATTGGGACACTCAAGTCACACTTACCTTTTGTGCATGGCACAAATAGAGAGTAGGTGAGAGACATCTAGTGGCCCTGGTTATAAATATCCTTCTGTTACCTGCGCCCTATTTTAGTATAAGATGATGCTTTAAAGAAAAGTTAAAATGGAAACATTCTTACACTGCTCAGTTTTTAAATTTTTAATTGAGTATTAAGTTATACAGAAGACCATCTATAACATATTTTCGCCTGGGGAAAGGTGAGGTGGAATAGATTCTGAATGTAATCAAGCCCCTGGACCCACTTATCAATTCACAGGAACTACTACTGGGAACGGAGGACATGATTTAAAAAAAAAAAAAAACATTAACAGAATGCAAATCCTGACTGTGGAAAACTGGAGAAAAGAAAACAGTTTCTTCTTCTTCAACAACAACCAACAAAGCAGGGTGGGGAGGACAAAAAGAAAGAGGTACCATGTATCTATGCCACAAGACTAGCTTTGCATTGACAGCTGCTGAAGACATGATGGGTATGTGGAAGTTGCCCAGTCGTGTCCGACTCTTTGCGACCCCATGGGTGATACAGTCCATGGAAGTCTCCAGGCCAGAATACTGGAGTGGGTAGCCTTCCCCTTCTCCAGATGATGGGTATATGGGAGATCAATTTTCTGTTTTCTTGTCTTTCATGTAAATTAAAAAAGAGATCAGTGAAACTTGTTTGAAAGCAATGGAAATGGGTTTGGATATTATCATTTTCCTGAACTGAAAAAATACTTTCTTTGGCATAAAATTTCACATGTAGGTCACTTCTAAGAATCAAATCAGCTTTGACAAGGGGGAAACTAAGTGTTGTTTGTAAGTATTATGTGAAAACACAATACTAACATTTTATTGTATACTTCAGCTAAACTTCATCTACATGACAAGGCAGAGAGAAGTTTTATTTCTTAGAAAATTTAATTATCAAAAAAACTACAAGTTCACTGTGACTGCTGCCAAATGAGATTTACATATACACACCGCATGACATACCTTAGCTTTAACACATCTTACAAATTTCTACAATTTGTATTTTCTCATGGAAGTAGAATAAACCCTGGTGGCTCAGTCATAAAGAATCTGTCTGCAGTACAGGAGACCCAGATTCAACCCCTGGGTCAGGAAGATCCCCTGGAGAAGGGAATGGCTGCCTACTCCAGTATTCTTACCTGGAGAATTCCAAGGACAGAGGAGTCTGGTGGGCTACAGTTCATGGGGTCACAAAAAGTCTGACATGACTGACTGACTAACACTTTCAGTTTTTCAAAGTTAGATGATTTCCATTTGGGAAGATAAAAAGCTAAAAGCATTTCTCCCAAGCAATTTTCTTAGGCGATTATAATTTTTCCTGTTTTTATGCACTATATTTCACTTACTCCAAAATATTTTTCCCATATTTTAATATCTCTGAAATTGGGACTTGGCTTACAATGATAATTGAAATGTTTCTGCTTTCTTAGTGTTATATAAAATAATAAGTATTATATAAACAAAGCAAATTACCTAATTTTTTAACATCAAAATATTATTGCATGTAACAAAATTCACTGATAACTCTCTGCTACCTCAAAACCTGTTTTAACCCTTATTCCAATTTTATATTCATTTGTAATGTGTACAAATAAAACTGTAAATACACTAAAAGTCTGTTAATAGTTTCTGAAAGCCTTTACTAACAATATTTTTAAGTTTTTAATTATCTAAAGTTTCTTCTATAAAATACGTTCTCAAAGTCTTCCTAATGTTTGACAACTGAAGTAATTCTAGCATAAGCATGTAAAAACTTTGAATAATCAATATTTTAGTAATCTGAAAATCATGTACCGAGCTGGCACAAAGGATTAACTTCTACTTGAAAGTGTACCTGTAAAAATACTGAATGTTCTATGCAACATCCAAATCCATAAACTGAATGAGTTAATTCCAACAAGGCAGAGGAGTTGCAAAAATACTCCTAAGACATAACTTGTACTAATTTTATTTTTCCAAGGGCAATTTTATCTAATTCTCTAGCAAAAAAAGAATTTCCCTATTCTCAGAGAGTCTGGTGTATAAAATACAAGTAAATATAAAACCATGAGAGAGAACTGCTCAAGAATATAAAACAAAACAGAATAAAATCAACCCTGTGTAATCACCAGACAGGCCTGCTGGTACCTGATGTAGGTGAGTAGCGAGTACATGTAAGACCCTAGGATAATCTGATGAGCATTATCATGGGGATAATGAATCCATTCTGCTTAATTGCACACAACAGTATAAAGAACAGAATTTGGTAAATTTCACCAAATTGGAGCTGTAAAGCTGTTCAAAGCAGTTCAGAAAGGAGGTCCTTACAATACTGAGACAACTGCTCTAGAGTGTCATATCTGCTCGTTGTTTAATTTGGTTTTTCAAACACCTCAGAGAATGAAGATCCTGGAGACCTTATGTGTTCTAACAGAAGAGACTTATATTCTTACAGGTCACTGACTGTACGTGCTAATCCCACTAAGAAGGTCTACATCCTTGATGCCATTGCCTGTCAACCCTCTCCCAACTACTTTAGTGAAAGATCTCTTCACAGGCACCACAATTTCTCAGCAGCCGTATATTGAGAGCAGTAACCTTAGGCTTCCTACACTACTTGGGACCTCCTAGTGCCCACTGCACTGAAACGTCCCGTCAGAGCAGACTTTTCAAACTGTTCTTGCTTGGCAGCCATTGTCCCCCTTCCCTTAGTCATTTCCCCACTCTTTCCCTTCAGTCCCTTGAAACACAGTTTGAAAAATGGATGCTCTAGGGCCCCTTCTGGAATCACTGGCCTCTCATTAACTCTCTCCCTTCAGCTATTAACTCACCTCCTGGCATCGTACTGCTCAGCCTTCTCTCATCCTGCCGCTGCTGACCTCTTTCTCAGTCATCCACACCATCCTGCTATTTCCACATAGTAAATATCAAGTTTCCTCAAAACAGAGGTCCCATCCACCAGACTGAAACCCGACTCTCACAAGGCCCACTAAGCTGCAGCCCTCACCCACCTTCATTCTCTTGTCAGGAGGTGCTGCTGTCTCCCATGGCTCCGCACTGCACTCTCAGACCATATCTCTTTTACTCTGTACTTCTGTATTTTGCATAAAAGCTACTCCTTTTCTCTGATGCTCATGTCACTAGTGGTTTTCAGAAGCACACTAAACTTAGAATCCTTTTCAAGGATAAATCTTCCTTATGGTTTTGATACCCCACTGTCTCCTCTGCTGAGAATTTGTTCTTTCAAGTATTACTTCATTCCTTTATATTTTCAACCTCTTCAAGAATACATAAAAAGTACGTCTGTACACAGAAAACCAACTTTTGCTCCATTCCTTTCTTCTAACTGTTGTAGTCTGTGTGTTAAAGCTTCCTAAAAGGATAAGCTACACACCAGTAAATATCAAGTCCACCGGTACTGAAATGGCACTTTCTAGGGTAACGAGAAATCCCATTAGGAAACGTATCACAACCACTTTTTCATCTCAGGTGAAATCCCTGAACGAACATCCGTCACTCCTGGATTTCCTTGACCCCACTCCCTCGGCTTTTCCGCTCCCTCTGACTTCCAGAAGCCTTCTCTGCCCTTGCTGGCCCTCCGTGATCCTCTCCAACTCTGCCTGTCTCTCCCGCACGCTCCGGAGACCACAGCGCCACCCCCATGCTCCACCCCAGCCACTGGCTGCTGCAGAACTCGCCAGGCCCCCAGCACCTCCACATGAAATGCTCCAAACACAACTTCCTTCTGCCTTCCCACTGGAGCTGTTCTGCCTCTGAGGACCCTCCTCGTATCAATTTACCCAAAGACCTGAGAGTCATGGGAGACGTTTCACTTGCCCTATTACCTACATTCAGTGACTCTCCCTGCTGTGTAAAGCCCAATATCTATAAACTTCCGATATATTTTATTGTGGGCCCCAAGAACTCCAAACTTTCCCAGCAGTCTCACAACCAGTCTCAGATGTCTCATTCTCTCCCAGTACATCAGCCAAGTGGCCACTCTGTTCTGAAAGTCAGAATCCCATCAGGTTACTTGTTCCCTTCTTTAAAATCCTTCGATGGCATGCCTCGCCTGCAGGATGAAGTGCAAAACCCTCGGCATGTTATAAAATGCCGTCTGCGATGTGGTCTCTGCTGACCTCCCAGCTTCATCTGTGCTGTCTCCTCACGCTTTCCTATCCATCAACTCTGTTCTCTCATGTGCTTATCTTATGCATGCTTTTCTCCTTTGCTTGGGAGGTATTCCCTTCACCCATCAAACCTAATAAACACCCATGCACCCTGATCTTTAGCCTGAGTGTTACTTCCCTGCAGCACCTTCTCAGAGGCCTCACGGTGTTCCTTCCTCCCACACACCTCTAATGTGCTATCTACCATATCACTGAAAGTTGCTCAGTCATGTCCGACTCTTTGCAATCCCATGGACTATACAGTCCATGGAATTCTCCAGGCCAGAATACTGGAGTGGGTAGCCTTTCCCTCCTCCAGGGGATCTTCCCAACCCGCGGATTGAACTAGGGTCTCCTGTACTGCAGGTGGGATTCTTTACCAGCTGAGCCTCTAGGGAAGACCAAGAATATTGGAGTGGGCAGCCTACCCCTTCTCCAGTGGCTCTTCCCAACCCAGGAATCGAACTGGGGTCTTCTGCACTGCAGGTGGATTTGTTACCAAATGAGCTGTCAGGGAAGCTATCATATCACCATTTGTCTATTATTCTTCCTCTCCTATTGGATTGGGAGTTCCCCAAAGGGAGAAACTATTTTGTACTGTTGAAATGTGTATCACTGGCATGTAGCTCACTGCCCAGCACATAGCAGTTTACAAAACATTCAAAACACTACAAATCATTGGTGAAGACCAAGTGTGTCTTCACCCACTACAGAGGTCCCGGTCTGTCTTATGATTGTGCCTTTGCATTTAAGATAGAACACCATGAGTTCCCACTATAAACGGCAATTGGTTAGGGTGGAGTGAGGGGAAAGTTAATCCATTCCATTTGGAAATATCCTAGTTTTTTAATGGTGAATAGCAATACCCGCCCTCTGATTTAAATGTCAACAGAGTTACAGCTCTAACACCAGTTAAAGAGGCAGGGTCTTGTCACACAACAAACTTACTAAGCAGCAGGGTCTTAAAGGAAACCAGGAAAGTCAACAGATAGGCTGACCTTGTATAAAAGTATATCTTTTTAAAAATTATGGGGAAGATAAAAATTTAAAAGTTAGGGGTTAGCCTAGGTATTACTAAACTTCAGTATTAACAACTGAGACTAATTAGGCAAATTTCCCATAAAATAAACAGAACTGGTTACATAATGGGGAAGATAAAAATTTAAAAGTTAGGCGTTAGCCTAGGTATTACTAAAGTTCAGGGTTAGCAACTGAGACTAATTTTAGGCAAATTTCCCATAAAATAAACAGAACTGGTTACATAATCCCATCTATAAAAATTATAGTACATAGGCAAGTAAGTTTTAGATTATAAATTTTAAAGAACCAGGTACCTTCATTATAAAAGTGTAAGATACTTAAATATGGCTGTATATTCAAATAAAACATTTACATAATTCCTAAAAATAGAATTATTGTTTAGCCAGATATTCTATAACTAACCAGACACAGTGCATGGCCCAGAATAGCTAAATTACTGACTCACAATGCAAAACCATTTTCATTTTGTTTAAAAATAATAAAAGGAGGCATTTGTTTTTTGGTTTAAACACAGAGTCTAAAACAGAATTTTTCAGGTGTCTCCTTCCTTTTCCACGCCTGAGACTGCAGTGTTCTCAACGCAGCACTGATTTTATAGTCTGATCTTTTCATAAGCTCTCCCTAAAAGTGTTAACTGGAGCTATCGACAGCATTAACAAAATGAACTCACCAGACCACATCTACCTAAAATAACTTCTTCCCTTAGGACTGAGATAGGAGGGCCAGAGAATTCTCTCTAATGCCTGATAATGCAATTTTAACGCTCCACTCAGCATTATGACATTAGACTAATCTGTGCAGTTTTGGTAGTCCCAGCTATGAAATTCCCTACATTATTTGGTAATACGACTTCCAGAAAATTAACTACTTTTAACACTGAACACATGAATTTAGCAATTCTATACATGACACTTTAATACTGTTAGAAGAACCCACCAGAGAACTGATAGAAATATGATCATCATACATAGAAAGCCAGGGATTACTATTAATCTAAAGAAATGTTAAAATTCTATGGTTCCCAAATTAGATAGTACAAACAAGTAACCTATGTATCCAAACAGGCCCATTATTATAAAATGTCACTCACCATCCCCAGCAGGAAGTCCTCTCTCTTGTTTTTCATCACATTTGTTGCATTCACTGAAGTAAAGCAGCAGGAACATATCCAAGAGTACCCAAATCAAGGAGGTGGCCAGGACCACCTTGCAGTATGCAAATTTTCTCATGGCACTTTAAGTCAAATGCAAAATTTTAAAATATATATGTATAAATATACAAAGATCATGAAAATTACTCCAATCCAGTTTCATCAGAAATCACTTTCATAACCTACAGACAGAAAAAGAAAAAAGATTAACTAAAAAATTCAGAACCTAAAGCACAATCGAAAGATTAACTTAGTATGCATATGAAATTTTACTATGAGGAATAAGTTCTAAATCAGACTTCAAAAAATACTTGTAAAATATATAAAAATTGACAGTATCAAAAACATGCAAATAACTCCTACAAATCAATATACACAATAAAATAGAAAAATGGGTAAATGACACAAACAAGCACTTTGCAGAAAGGAAACAGGAAGAGCCAATAAACAAGTGAAAATGGGCTCGATTCACTACAATTAGGAAAATACAAATTAAAACAGTGACTATCTCATATCCATTAAACACGTGGGGCTTAACTGCCTTCTATTCAACTGCTATATTAAACGCTCAAGTAAAAGCTAAGCCATTAACTGCCACAGGGGTTTAAGAAATCAGTACTTCCCAGTCCATTTCAAACACTCCCATTCAGTTCCCAAGGTCCAAGGATTTATGTGAGCTCTCCTGGTAGCTGTACTACAGCAGTTTAACTGGAGTGATTCTTCTCCCTCTGTCCCACTGAATCCCATTCTAAAATGCTAGTCACCAGTCATTCAGAAACACTCATGGAAAGCGTAGAAGAAAAGGGCATCGAGAGATCTGAGGCCTGGACTTGGCTGTGACAGTAACTGCATAGACTTCCCCGAAGTTTCGTTTCTATGTGCCCCACCCCCACCCCAATCTATTACAACATCTTGAGAAAAGACTGGAGAAATGGTCACCAAATCTGGGATGGCGAGACTGGAAACCCTCCTGGCACGCTGGCTCTTGTTTGGGGGCACACTGGAGCAGTCCCAGGGACCTCAGGTGAGGAGTCATCGCACGGAGCCGTGGGCAGCAAGGCTCAAAGGCGCGTGTCAGTGCTGCCCGGGAGACGGAAGAACCAGCTGCACCTGGGGTGGATGGAGGAAACACCTGGCACAGGTGCCCCCCACTGAAAGCCAATGCGCAGACGCTCTGAAGGGCTGGGATGCTACCAGGGGCGCCCAGGAGCTTCTTACAAGGGCAATTTATGCAGCATGAACCCGGGACAGACCAGAGAGTTTATCTATGAAAAAGATAACAGTTCTTTCCTACCTCACGAAGGGGCTAGCCAGCAACCTGAAAAGCACCCCCAAAATACTAAGTGACACTTGTAACTGTGAAGTATGATTTCTGCTCACCTCTCTGGGGACTATGATTTCTTGCCTGTCGGTCTCCTTCCACCAAACCAACACTCCCCACTTGTACCCTGAGAACAGGGGTGCCACTGTTGGACTCTTGCCTCAAGTCCCTCACATGTGGTGAGCAATCACTACTAACTCTAGCGACTGGGGTGAGGGCAAGGCCAAAAGGATTACAACGCGCAATGTCAAGGAACAACAGATCTCTCCAGAGAAGCCGATATACCATGTATTTCAAGCCACTTCACGTGCAAGGCTACCTCTCTTGGTCACTGGCAAAGCAAGCAGTCTAGCTGCTGGTGCGATATCTGGGACGCAAATGTGGTTCTGTGTTCTCTAAAGCCTGCTGATTGTTATTTCTTTCAAAGCTTACAGCCCAGAACACTTAAATGTAAGTCTTTATAACTCTGTATCCATCCCTGTTTAATTTTTCCAAGGCAGCACAATTAGATTCTAAAATTGAAGATGAAATGCAGTGGGTGTGTGTGTATTTGGAAGGAAAGCGGTACAGAGAAAGCAGGAGGTGCAGGGAGAAAGGAGAATAAAGAGGAGGCAAAAACCCCTGAAACCTTGGGCCAGAGATTCCTCAGATACTAACAATAAAATGCACAAATTAAAAAAAAAAAAGACTGGAAGTTGGACTTAATAAAATCTGCTCTTCAAAAGACAAGTCACATATGGGGAGAAAATATTTACAAATGATTCATCTGATAAATTACTTGTACCCAGACCACATAAAAAACTCTTCAAACACAGTGTTTAAAAACCCTAATCCGAAACAATGGGTGAGAGCTTTGAACTGTCACTTCACTGGAACAGCAATTTAGGTGGTAAACGAGTACAAGAAAAGATTTTCAACATTGTTAGCTATTGTGTGTGTGCACTCAGTCAGATCTGACTTTGCAATCCAGGGACTGTGGCCTGCCAGGCTCCTCTGTCCATGGGATTCTCCAGGCAAAAATACTGGAGCGGGTTACCACTTCCTTCTCCAGGAGATCTTCCTGACCCAAGGATCAAACCCATGTCTCCTCTGTCTCCTGCACTGGCAGATGGATTCTTTACCGCTAATGCCACCTACGAGGGAACTGCAAATTAAAAACACAATGAAACACCACTATGCACCAATATAAACAGCTAAAGGAAAAAAGAAAACTACCAAATGCTCGCAAGAACTGCTGTAACTGGACCACTAACACACTGCCAGTGGAATGCAAAATGGTACAGTCTCCAGAAAACAAGCATTTTTCTCCCATAAGAATCTTACTTAAGAGAAAGGATAATATACGTCCACACAAAGACTTATACACAACCTTTCTATCAACTTAATCATAACCATCAAAATCTGGAAACAATCCACACGTCCACCACCTGGTGAATGGATAAACAAATTGTGGTACTCTAAACAGTGAAGACTTCAACCCAGAAGTCCAGCAATCAAAAAGAACTCTCCATGTACACGCAACAGCACTGATGAATCTCATAACCCTTATGCTAAGTCAAAGCGGTCAGTAACAAAAGGCTGCATTTGGTATACTATATGATGCCATTTATGAGACAGAAATCAGATCGGCTGTTGCCAGGGGCTTGGAAGAGTAGGGGACTACCCTCAAAGGACAGTGAAGAAACTTGTAATAATGGGAAACCCTCTACTCCCAGCTTGTGGTGGTGGTCATACAACTGTGTCCATTTGTCCAGACGGGTACGACTATACTTAAAAGGGTGAATTTTACTGTAGATAATAAATTGAACCTCAATAACCTTAAAAACAGGTAAATATAGAAGAGGTGAGGACCCTTCAAAGAAACAATTTAAATTTTAGGAGGATAACTGTTGTATATTTCTTCAAGTACCTTAAACACTATTACCAATGGGTTAAGTACCCTCCCAGTCATTCAGAATACATCAGCAGTATGTCATGTCTTTTTAAAGTAATTGTATTATACCTACATATTCTCAGAAATTTTGGAATGAGTTCTGGGTACATGGTTATAGTTTTACAGAACCAAATAAATTTTTTCATACTATTTATTTTTATTTTTGCCTGCACTAGGCCTTCCTCGCTTTTCGCAGGCTTTCTCCAGCTAGGGTGAGCGGGGGCTACTCTGCGGCGCCCGGGCTTCTCCCTGCGGGGACCTCTCTTGCTGAGGGGCGTGGGCTCACTAGTTGCAGTGCACGGGCTGAGCTGCTCCAAGGCTTGTGGGATCTTCCTGGACCAGGGATCAACCCAGTGTCCCCTGCACTGACAGGCAGATTCTTATCCATTACGCCGCCAGGGAAGTCCAGGTATATCATGTTTTGAAGCAAGTGTAACATCTATTTTGACTCAAATATTTTAATGTCTTAAATGTCCCTAGAGGAGGAAAAGACTGAAATGTTCATAACCATAAAGGGGTAGCATGAGAGATCTCTGTGGTAATGCTGCTGAGATTTTTTTTTTAATTAAACTAATACGCTCAACAGACATTCTAACCTCTCTTTCTACCACAACCACCAAGTATACTATCTTAGACAACAAATGCCTTAATGATCACTTCAAAAAAGGCCTGATATCCACAAAGCTGTGTCAGAATGTCACATATTGTTTTACACATTGAAGGTGAAGGTGAAGTTGCTCAGTCATGTCCGACTCTTTGCAACCCCATGGACTGTAGCCCACCAGGCTCCTCTGTCCATGGGATTTTCCAGGCAAGAATACTGGAGTGGGTTGCCATTTCCTTCTCCAGGAGATCTTCCCGATCCAGGGATGGAACCCAGGTCTCCCGCATTGCAGGCAGACGCTTTACCATCTGAGCCATCAGGGAAGTCTTAAAAGACTTTAAAGACTCTAAAGAAGAGACAGAAAATACACACAGGCTGAGGTGGCTTCCTGGCTCATGATTCCGACTCTTGCTCTGCCCACCCTACCCCAAGGACTTCTGGTAACAGACCTAGTCCCATGGGCACAGGACAGCCGAATGACCTGCCAGGCCAACCACAGGCCCTCAGCACTTCACCTCCCAAGTCACAGAGCTGGAAGCCCGTGCTAACCTAGTGTTACAGTCAGCTACACTGCCCATCATAGAGAGAAAGCCGACCTGCAGTCCAAGAGGGTGAGTTCAAACAGAGGCATGCAGGATGAGAGGAGGAGGGTTCCGTAGTGACTGAGTCCCTGTCTCTTCTTTGGCTTTCATGACCACTCAGGAATCCTTCTAATAATCCCCTTTTCCGCTTATGAGAGTTTGAATGGAGTTCCTGACATACACCTGGGATGTGGAAGTGGGGGGAGTGGAGCAGAGACAGAGGAAACCTAAAGTCAGACAGGCTCTGGTCCACTTCTGAAGTTTCTCTCTACTAGTCAGAACAATTATACATCATGAGGCACACTATGCTACTTGAAAGGACACTGAATTGCTTATAAACGGAAAAATCTGAGGCTTGCTTTTCTTCTAACACTACATTTCTCAAGCCCATTCATGCTGCATGTAGTTGTAGTCACTTCCTTTTCACCACTGTATAATACTCAACTGGCTTATAGTAATGTAATCATACACTAGGGGGCTAATCATAGTTTATCCCTTTCATGCTTAATAGGCATGGGGTTATTTCTAGGCTTAAGCATGTTTCCTGGTACACATGCGCCAGGGGTCAGCAAACTTCTGCAAAGGGCCAGATAGTAAACATTTTAGGCTTTGCGGGACACAGATCTCTGTGGCAACCACC